AGGAAGAAGACGGAGGAGATTCGGAAGTTCGCGGACGGGTCCTGGTGGGCGTTGATTGGGTGGTGGGTGGGAGGAGGAGCAAATCCGGGGAGGGACGGCAGCAGGCATTGCAATCGACATATGAGAGGGAGGAGGAGGAGAGATGGTGCCTACCTCAGCTGCTGTGCTTCAGCTCAGCTCCGTCATCCATGGATCCGCTGCCGTCTCCATCGCCGCCTGTCCGTGAGAGATGGAGCGAGGGATGGGGCGTGGGTCTGGGGAGCGTTTCTGTTTGTCTGATTGCGCTCGAGTTGAATGCGCTGTAGGCAGGCGCCCGTCCCGTTGGTCAGGCCGGTAATAATAAGGCCGTCGTTAATGCCCCTGCTTACTCCAGCAGCGAGGGGCAGGATGAGGTGAGGCGAGGCGAGGCGAGGGATGCGGCCAAGTCCACTCCTCCACCTCTTGGCTTGGGCCTGGCTGTCTGTCCGTCCTCACGCACGACACCGCCCCCAAATTCAATCCATTCCATTCCTCCATCCCCCACAATCAATCATGCCAGTCACGCTCTCCCGGTCCCGGATTCATGCCCCGCCGCGTACGCACGCACCGCACGCACGCACGTCCCACCAACACGCACCGCACCGCTTGCAGTTCCTCGGGACACCGTCCACCGTACTTCCACAAAATGTACATAAATAAAGGAGTATAAACGAAAGAAGAAGAAAATGGCAGTAAAACACCGTCCGCCCTTCCTCGAGCTACCCAAAAAGAAGTGGACAAGGTAACCAGGTGCAATACTGGTCCAGTTTTTTTCTCAATATAAATAAATAAATAAATAAATAATGCCGCACTAGTAGTAGTAGTAGTTAATATCACATTCCCCTCCCGACCCAGATCGGGCTCCTCCCCTGCGATACATGTCCATGTGCACTTTAGTTGACTTACCACACCATACCTCGCCATGTTTACAGACATTTTCTGCCTCCCACAGCAGGCTGCTTATTTTCTCACCACATGGGATGGGATCCAAGGCAGCTCAGCCACCTCACCTAGCTCCATTTCCCAGCCGAAACCAAACCAAATCCTCGCACCACCCTAAAAATGCACTCCTACTTACTTACATTCACACTGTCAGAGATCACAAGGACCCATCTCAGCCTGCCAAAGGCCCAAAGCAAGGCAGTCAATCAGCCACCCAGTCGTGGCATTCGCTGAAACCACCGGCACTTGTATAAACAACTTACTGGAGTTAGTTCAAAAAACCGCTGCCATATCAACAGGGGCGTTCCTCTGCCCGCGCATCTCTCGGCTACAAGGACGCTAACGCTCGCCGCTAAAGGCTTTCTAGACCGGGCTTCTAAGTGGACAACAACAGCAGAAGAGCGAAGCAAGCGATGGCCTGCAACACGTCGCGCCGGCTAGGCTTCGTCGTCGGACAGGCACACCACCTCCGCGCTCGGCCCTGCTGCGTTGCCGCCGTCGCCGCTGCTGCTGTCAGGCTCCACGCCGAACCTGGCCGGCATGTACGGGTTGCTGTTCGGCGGCGGCGGCGGTTCCAGGCCTGGATGGTTGAGGACGGCGGGTATGTGAGCGCCACCGCCGGCGTGCTGCTGCTGGCTTCCTGGCGCCGCCGGGCCTGCTGAGGTGCTGCTGCTGCCGACGCCCAGGGCCATGTTCAGGTACGACGCCTGCTGCTGGAGCTGGGCAAACGTGAGGGCGGGGTTCGGCGTCCAGACGGGGTCCGTGTGCCGGCCAGGTGGAACAAAGTAGGTCGGGGCGGCTGAGCCTGAGCCTGGCGCTGACGGCGGTGCTGGTTGGTGAGCCGGGCCTGCTGGAGTCATGGAGGCTAGCACGGCGCCTGGCTGCGGAAACGCCGGCCTTAGGCTGTCCGTGACAAACTGCCCGCCCGCTGGAACCCCTAGGATGGCAGGGAGCTGCTGCTGCTGGTGGTGGTCCGTGGGGATGACATATGGCGGGCGCATCCTGAGGTGCTGCAGATGAGGAGAGGGCGCACGCAGCTGCTGCTGCTGTGCTGCTGCTCCAGCGGGCGGCCTGTAGCTGCCCTGTGGCCGAGGCGTCGGAATGCCAGGTGGCATTGTTCTGTAGAGGATGCTGGGTGGAACTGATTGTGGCTGGAGAGGGCGCAACTGTGGTCCGGCGGGTCCGTGGCTTGCATGTAGCGAAGGCGCTGGAACAAAAGGCGGTGATGTTGCTCCAGAGAGATTGCCAGGCCTCGCTGACTGTGACTGGACCGTCCGTGATGAGGATGGTAGAGCCACCGGCGGAGGGCGGACGTTGGGTCCTGCTGAACTGTGCGCTGCCGCTCCGATGGATGGCGATGGGATAACCGGCGGCGATGCTGCAATCCGAGCCGCTGATGAAGAAGACTCGGGTAGCTGATCCATTACAGGGCTCATCAATCTCCCTGCAACGCACAAGGAGAAAACTAACCATTACTCGCATGATCAAACGATTAAGGAGCGTCTCAGTAAGCAACAGATCTCAATGGATTTAAATTGTGCTTTGGCTTTTCAAGTCAATGTAGTGCAACCATCTGGCGTTGGGATTCCTTGAAAAGGAAGTGAGAAACAACAAGAAAATGACACTCCTCGCAGATCACACATGTAAGGGTTTCACCGTACAGAAACAGCCAAATATACACAAGGTGCTGGTAAATGAATCATGCAAGGACACCATGCTCCATCTTATATGTTGATCAAAAGAAAAAGAAGCGTTTCGAAAGATGTGTATCAAACAGAAATATCACAGCGAGCAGAGCTAAATGCTGAAAGACTACCTATGACCAGATCATTGTTTTGGAAAACAAACGAGATACTCTAGCAAACAGTTAGGTGGATACCATGAGATGCAACTGATGGCGTGAACTCGCGTTGGAAATTCTCAGCTAGTGATTTGCTCACGTAAACTTTCTGGTAGATACCATTCAACTGAGTCCGCTTCACACGATGAGCGGAATCTTCTTGTTGAAGTAACGAGTCATACTTCCTGTTTATCTTCTCTATTTCTTGGTTGCGCTCTGCCTGAAGTTGTGATCTCTGTTGACAAATAGATGTGCAGCCAAGCAAGACATGAAAAAAAACTCACGACGAGCACATGCAATTTACAGTAAAACAGATAATAGACAAACAAAACAAAAAAACAAACCTTATCGTCATGGCCTTTATCAAGCAAAGTGCTCCAATGAATTATTTTTTCCAACTCATTTCTCAGCGGTTCATCACTAAATGTTGGATTATTAAACACTAATGGCGTGACTGGAGGGAGTTGGGTAGGCTGCTCAGGACCGATAGGGATATGCTGAACTGTGGTTGATAATTGCCGTTCAGGCTGCAAATCCTGGGCTGCCGTACTGCCTACCATACCTGCTCCTTCTGCTCCTGCAGGTCGATCACGCATTGACGCTGATGGCTGTATTTCAGACTGCAGATCATGCTCAGGACTGGCTGCTGTGTTTGGTTCAAAACCAGCTTGTCTCCTTTCTTCAGAGCGTGTTCTTTCAAGTGGGTCATGCTGAACTGTGGTTGCTGTTTGCAGTTCAGGCTGCAACTCCTGGGCTACTGTCGTGCCTAGAACACATGCTCCTTCTGCTGCCACAGGTCGGTCCTGCATCAAGGCTGATGATTGTATTTCCGATTGCATATCAGGAGCTGCCACCACACCCAACGCATCTGTTGATTCTGCTCCGGCATGTGAATCCAATGAGGTTGATGGTTGCACCTTAGGCTGCGAACCTCGAGCAGCAGTGGCGCCCATGATACATGCTCCTTCTTCTGCAGCTTGATCCTGCATTGAGGTTGACAGTCGGGCTTCAGGCTGCAAATCACAAGCTGCCTCTGTGGCCAGAATACCTGCTGGTTCTGCTTCTGCTGGTGGATGACGCAAAGTTGCTAAGCTTTGTTGGGCAGGCAGACTCGTACTCTGTTCCACAGGCATTGAGGCTGGTGGTTGAATAGCATGAGGTGTCACCATGCCCGATAACTCTACACCTGCATGTGGATCCAATGAAGGTACTACATTTTGATGGACAGACAAACTCTGCAGACCAGACACAAAAGGAACGCCCCGCATTGAGGTTGATGATGATTGCATTTCAGGTGGCAAAACCTCAGCTGATATGGCACCCAAGGTACCTGCTTGCTCTGCCTCTGCTGGCTGATCCTGCATTGCTGCCTCGGGACCCACGATACATGCTTGTTTTTCTGCAGGTTGATCTTGCATTGAGGTTGACTGTTGCACTTCAGGCTGCAAATCGCAAGATTGGTTCAGGAGACATACTTGATAGATACTTGATTGGCAAGTTGCTAAACTTTGTTGGGCAGGTACACTTACACTTTGTTCCACATGCATACTTGATTGGCAAGTCTGAGTTTCAAATTCAGTAGACACTGGTAAGGTAGCTGGGCTAACTGGTGACTCCAAGTGGACTTGATCTGTATCAACAGTGTCATCATTGTTTGCAATAAGTCCCCTAACAAGAGAATCTGCAGGTTGATTCTGCATTGAGGTTGACAGTTGGACTTCAGGCTGCAAATCACAAGCTGCCTCTGTGGCCAGAATACCTGCTGGTTCTGTTTCTGCTGGCGGATGACGCAAAGTTGCTAAGCTTTGTTGGGCAGGCAGACTCGTACTCTGTTCCGCAGGCACTGAGGCTGGTGGTTGAATAGCATGAGGTGTCATCATGCCCGATAACTCTACACCTGCATGTGGATCCAATGAAGGTACTACACTTTGATGGACAGACGAACTCTGCAGACCAGACACAAAAGGAACGCCCCTCGTTGAGGTTGATGATGGTTGCATTTCAAGCGGCAAAACCTGAGCTGATATCGCACCCAAGGTACCTGCTCGCTCTGCCTCTGCTGGCTGATCCTGCATTGCTGCCTCGGGACCCACAATACATGCTCGTTTTTCTGCAGGTTGATCTTGCATTGAGGTTGACTTTTGCACTTCAGGCTGCAAATCGCAAGATTTGTTCATGAGACATACTCGATAGATACTTGGTTGGCAAGTTGCTAAACTTTGTTGGGCGAGTGCACTTACACTTTGTTCCACATGCATACTTGATTGGCAAGTCTGAGTTTCAAATTCAGTAGACATTGGTAAGGTAGCTGGGCTAACTGGTGACTCCAAGTGGACTTGATCTGTATCAACAGTGTCGTTGTTTGCATTAAGTCCCCTAACAAAAGAATCTGCTCCTTCCAGCAACATACTTGGATTAGCAATATTTTCTGCCTCAACATGTCCAGTATTTCTACAGTCACCAATTGAAGATTCCTGATGCAAAATTAAAGGTGTTTGTGATCAGTTGTCTGGCATCACTAGACTATACGCAATGACAATGAACACATAAATAAATCAAGTATGATGATACACGGAATCACGAAAAGCAAAGCAGGACACACTGGAATGACCACTATGTGCCAAGTTTTGGAATGTGCAAAATAAATACTATTTGTGTCAAATGGCGTAACTTTGAAAGTGCTTTTCAACAAGCAAGCGACATAAATGCTCAAACTAATATAATCGACAACATATGTAACTCTCGATGCCTACGGCACAATAGGCAATCAAGGCTGGAAAAATGATGATTGACTGCATACACAATCTGGACAACCCAAATACATGGTGGTGCATATTCATTTCTTTTTGGGTCTATACATGCCATCATTCCACACACACGACACACTATCACCAAGGTGGGACTATGGCATGGTGCAAGTGGCAGAAACTTATGGTGGCGAAGCAGCATTTTGAGGTGTTGTTAACTTACCATTTAGTTTATTTTCCATATTATCTCTAGCCATGTTTGTTAGGCACACACCTGTCGTAAGAGGATGGGGAGGTTACTTTCCAATTATTCTTGCGCCCATGGTTTTCGAGTCGCGACTCGGATGAGTCGCTTTGGGCTAGCGACTCGGAAAAAGTCAAGCCTGCAATTCCGACTAGCCGTGACTCACGACTTGAGTCAACACTAAGTTGAATCGACATTTTTTTGCGACTCATCGACTAGTCGCGCGACTCGAAAACCATGCCCTAGTTTTCCTGTCTGCCACTTTGCTTTTTCAGCTGCACCTACCTATCTATCTCCACCAAGGCACCACCAGGCCATAAACCTTCAAGCATGCAGCCTCGTAGAACTACCTGTTGTGTTCCACTCACAAGGAACACAACTGCAAACTAATAGACCAACTCGTCTCACTCACAATTAGAATGGGGAACTGCAGCAAAATAGCTCAGTTTTGGTGATCTGCTAATCTTCATCATTTAACTAGCTGCAAGATATAGCTCCAGGCAGTTGCAGTTCTATGTGCAACCTATGGAGAGTCAGTTGACCCCACAGGTTGTGTAATCACTCTAACTTCATTCTTGATATTGCATCAAAAAATCATAATTCAGAAAACTTATTGCTCTACCACTGCCACTGGCTTGAGGTTAACTCTTGCAAGGAGTCAGGATTAAAGCACAAGCAAGTTGTACCAGCACACAATCCTCAACAACAACAACAATAACAAAAACAATAACAACAACAATAACAACAACAAAGACTTTAGTCCCAAACAAGTTGGGCTGGGCTAGAGGTGAAACCCATAAGATCTCGCAACCCACTCATGGTTCTGGCACATGGATAGCAAGCTTCCACACACCCCTAGTTCTCTGGTGATACTCCAGTCCTTCAGAATAAATGCATTCTGGAAAGTGAAAATTATACCTGACCAACTGAATCATCATTTGCAGGAATAGTACTTGATGAACAACCAGCTCTTTGTGCACCCATGCCATCAGAACTAAGGATGGAGTTTCCTGGAAAATCAACAGCTTCTGATGCTGGTCCTTCACCTGAGTCCACAGAAGTTGCAGCTGGCTCATTTTCCATTGCCTGTGTAGATATGCCCCCTGACAGAACTTCATTTCGTACTAATGCAATTTCCATTAACAATCCATCATCTAATGACTGCTGGTTATCTGACACAGAACTTTCAACAATATGATACTCGCCACTCTGCTCCTTAAAATGGATAAATTCTTCCATAACAAAGTTCGAATCTGGTAGAGCAATATGCTGATCAAAGTCTTGATCTAATTGGCCTGATTTTGCTACCTGGTGGAGATTCTCCTTCAGATGTCGCTCTACAAGCCACCTATCAGATTGCAGTGCCTCGAGTTTGTTATGTTGGAGGCTCATGTGGTCCAAAAATGCATACATAAGCATAGTGAACCACTGAACAGTTAGCTTTATTTTGTCACTCCTGGTCACTTCATCAATGTGACTTTTACGAATATGCTCCAGAACTAAAGTGCACACTGCCTTCAGTCTGAGAACGTTGTTCTGTGTGTACGTGTCTAAACCTGAGATCTCAAGCTGTTGTTTACAAAGGATATTCTTTTCTCTCAAGGAGAAAACATTGTCAATTAACTCCATTCTTTTCTCCACGATCATGTTAGGAAGGTCATCCTTTGACAAATGACATTCTCTGTGAGTTTCTTGAACAGGCTCCTGCTCCTCTGAGATCATGTGATCAGCACCAGATGAGACCACTTGGGTGTCCTCCCATGAGATTTGGGTGTCCTCTACTGACACTGGTTGACCATTGATGCTAGTTTCAATTGAGATTTGGGTGTCCTCTACTGACACTGGTTGACCATTGATGCTAGTTTCAATTAAGATTTGGGTATCCTCTACTGACACTGGTTGACCATTGACGCTAGTTTCAATTGCTCTATCTGGATTTTTTCCCTCTGGGAACCTTAATCTTCCATAGATGAATGATGCAAGCTCTTCATTGCACTCACAGTTCAAGCTTTTTCCAGCAAGGGCAATCGACTCTCCAGAATTTATCTTATACTTAAGAACAGAAGCAGCATGCCAACACTGAAGAAAATGATTAAAGAACGTTGGCATATTTGATAAACATAAATATGAAAATAAAAATACAATGACTTTGCGGGTGTCTTTCTTACCAAGGATATGATGATTGCGTGCAGTATGCTCACTGGCTCTGTAACAACTAGATGATTCTTCAAAAAATACTCAAACAACTGTTCAGCCATAGCTCTTACATCATCCTGCATTTCCAATTTACACAAGATGCTCATTAGCCAGGTAAGCATGAAGAATCAATGCAAGAGCAAAGCAAAAGAATGAACAAATGAGAAAGGCACGTAACAAAAATCAAAAGAACCATTAGCGAGAATATTTTCCATATTCCAGTACTAAATCTTTGTTTCACATGGGTGTCAACTGTCAAGAATGTATAGTCATTAGACATATCAGATTAAATTACAGGAAGTGCAACAGAGCATATCTGAACTGCAGACAGTCAAGACAAATTTAGCAGCTCTTCACTTTGGGTTACCCTAATCACAGTCCTCAAGACAGGCATATATGAAAGCTCTTGAGAATGTACAAGAATTGGTGTGTTAAACTACATAAAACTCTTCTACGGTATAACTTTTAGCTTGTCAAGGTGAGTCAGACAAGCTTTAAACATTGACTCTTGAGTTGTGACCTACATAAAACTTGAGGGTTAGTGTTGACTTATAGCCTACCTGACATATTATATCTGATTACTAGTTGCACAATTTGTCCATGAATAAAAAAATTGCCATGACAAACTAGCCAAAGACGGAAAAAAATACTCCCTCCATATCACAATATAAGAAGTGTTTTGACACTACGATGGCGTCAAAACGTCTTATATTTTGATACAGAGGGAGTAGAGACCAACCATCGAAACAAGGGAGCAAGGGTTGGTCTTACTACCATTTATGTCAAACATTAAGCCCCACTAGATGTAATTGTGGGCACTCACTGGCAGTTAGTTTAGGCATTTTTTATATAAGTCCCATTCAGGTACAAATGCAAGATTAAATTTAGGATTTTGTTTGTTTGTTTTTGCATGCAGATAATAACGAGTTTGTACACTTTCTGTAACCTTCTGTACATTAGCAGAACATATTCTAAGCATAAGTGACTTCGATGCATCCTGCCAATAGCAGAACTAAGAAAATTCATACCGGCAATTGTAGGGCCGTAATTAGTTTTGACAGCTCTTTCTTAAGTTGGACGTGAAGATTCTTGGGTGTGCTCATCCGTTTTTCCACCCCTTCAGAACAAAATTGCATCAGAACATGTAATGAATATATGCAGCAGAATGTATTATATGATGATGAACATGATACCTAATGTTTGTTGTGTGTCATCTAGTGGTTGAAGAGCAGGACTCGATGTAGAATTTTCAGGCAACACATCATGGTGATTGTTGTCATGTGAACTTTTTGAAGATGGACCTGTGATTTCGCCAACCTTTCTACGCTTCCTTCTGGTTTCATTGGCTTCTTCTTCAGCAGGAACTTTGGCTGGTTCTTCCATGTTTTGTAAGATGTTATGGCTTGATTGTGGTGGCTCAGATATATAGCTCCAAGAGGGAGATTTTCCATCCAGTAAATCTAACCAGAACTTAGATGGGTCTCCATCCAATGCACACATTTCCTCTTTTTCACCTACTAGTGTGATGTTTCTTGAGTAAAATTTACCACTCATGTTAGCTTCCGATATGCATGTGCAGTTAAGTTTGGTGCTGCCTACAACATTTGTGGCTAATTTTTTCAAGAACTCTGAAACTACTTTATCCATAAAGTTGTCCCTTTCAGAGTTTTTACTTGCACAGTTGTCATGCTTAAGCTCATCAAGTCTAGTGAAGAGACATGATGCACCCCAACTGATAAAGGAATGGCTTGCGCTGTGTGTTATATCCTTCTTATCAATAAGCATGCCCTGTTTTGCAAGCACAAGCCACTTCTCCTCCATTGTCAAAGGAGTGTATAAGCGAAAAATGCTTGGATAGCTAAGATGTGACTCTATTTTGATTCTTTGAAGAGCCTTTTGATCAGTAAGTGGGTTCCAGTCACTATTATATATGATAATGGCATCAACAGATGACAGCTCAATACTTGGGAGGCATGCATTTGTTTCAATCAGAAAAACAAATCTCCCCTTGGTCTTGTCATTGAACTTATTAAGTGCCATCGCTTTCTTCGAGAATGATCCACAAAATCCAACACGTTCATATGACTCTGGGCCAAATTTGTGACGCACAACAGTTTCCAAAGTATCACCCATTGAGCTTCCACCTGGTACACCAGACTGCCAGAACATGCCAAGAAAACATGCTGAGTTAAGAAAAAATGAAGGAGTTCTCAAAGACACAAATTTCATAGAGGAGCATCAAGGGAATACTTCAATAAGAAATGACAACACTGCTGAGTACTTGAGGGAACATGTTTGGAACAATAAGTGAAATGGCGCTTGCATGTCACTTGGAGGAATTTGTCATATATTATTTCTTTTCATTGTTAATTACTCGATATAAGGAAAGTACTTTTGCACGTCATGGCAACACCATGTTCACTCGTGTAAAAATCTACTGACATAAATAGCATATTGGCATTTTATGTGGCACTCATGACATCGCACCTGAAGCAAAATGCAAGCAAGATAGCTTATGAGCATATTGTAGTAATGTAGAGATTATCCCTGGGGGGGGGGTCATGGGGACTATTTTATGATTATTCAAAGCTAAGATATTAATTATACAAGTTCAGCTTCTAAAACATTTATGGCAGCAATGTTTTAAAAACAGAGATTGTATGGCATAAAAAAGGAACAGGTGCCCTATATGTTACCGTACAATCAACAGTTAGGACACAGAAGAGAAATAATTAATAATAGATGCATGACTGAACGAATACCATATAACAATTTTCAGAACCATGATTGTTGATTTGTTGATGAACTGATTACCATCAGTATTAGCCAATAGATAACATGAAAGCTTCTAGGATGATAAATCAATCGTGTAACATGCAACAGCTACAGAGATCTAAGATTGGGTAAATTATGCCACACATGACCATAAGTAAAAGAGAGTGATGCCATGAGTATCTCACTTGAAAAAGAATAATGACTCTTAGCCTCTTGTTCCTTATTGCTTCAAGCATTTTTTGAAGAAGCAGTAGCTTGCCACATGCTTGCACTCTCGTAACTATAGGATCAGTCTGATCATGATTGTTGACAGGAGGTCGCAGGGATTCATCAACAAGGTAAGGGTCATCACAGCACTATAACATAACGACAAGAAGAACAGATAGAAGTCAGTAACAGAGCCATAACTTTGCAGAAAAAGGAATAAAGTACATGTACTGCAGACTGCATATAGACTGTAATCATACAAGCCGTAAATTTGTTTGCAAAGCACACCTTTGAGAGAGACATAATAATGTCATAAAGAGCTTTATCACTTTTCATCTGCGACTGGAGGACAGATGAATTTGAAAGCAGTATGGAACAATATGTCTGTAGCTGCAGTTGTGAAACATAAGCAGGAACCCAGTGCTCCAATATTTTTGAAGAACCTGCTTGACGCTCATATGCAATATGGCTTTTGAAGTTTCCTTTCAGCATCATAAGAGTCTCAGCAGTATCAACGTAACTTTCTTGCTCTCCAGAATTAAGGAATGCTTGAAGTTTCACGTATTCGGGAAGATTATCCTGCAAAATAACAATATTTAGCATGGCTTATTTGTGGTACAGAAGCAATTTTACCGGCCAGAGCTATTGATAGGCACCTTAATTGGGGAGCTCACAAGCAACATTCTGAAATCAGTGGGAAATTGCTTCAGTTGTTCGAGGTATTGTAAAGCTGACTTTTGATAATAATCAACTATGACTGCTTCCCAACCAATGTGTGCTATAGGTTCAATATCCTGTGTCATGGCAGAGAGATCACAATTAAATGGAAAGCATAAGTTTGAGAGATGGGCTAGGGGTGTAGTAACAACGACATCAATATGATACAGGTGCAATCTATGTGCTCTTAATTGGTTAGCAGTATTTGCTCAATAAAACTAGGCAAGGAAATACTTAGCAGTTGGAACTTACCTCTAGGATAGCATCAGGATGGGATAAGAGAACCTGTAACATACAGTGGCTTCCACTCTCATAGAATTCCAAATCTCGAATTAATTTGAGCTCATCTTTCCCCCCGTCATACACAACGACATTGATAAACGGTGCCAACTTATTGAACTGAACCTCCCATAAAGACAGAGAACCAGGAGTTGTGAGAATCAGAAAAGGTTGGCTGACGTCAGGTAATACAGACATTGTGAATAGCACGGTCTTTATTACATACTCCTGCATAACAAATGAGTTAAGCATCAAGTCCTTTTTGTTTAGGAAAGAGTTCAAAATTAACCAAGTACAACTGTGAGAGATGTACTTATAATGCTAAATTGTTGCATCCATGTAAACGAAGCAATAGAACAACTCACCATGCCGGTGGCCATAACTACTACAAACAAGAATGTGGGTGAAAAACTAGAGTAGCTGGACTAGTCTGCTAAGCTACTTGCATGGTTCCTACCTTATCATCAACAAGAACAGCACCACAGGATTTGTGCCAGTACTCTCGAAGGTGATTGACTGAATACAAGTGATCATTGTCAAAATCAGGATGGCACCCATCTGGCAATCTCTCAAGTTTCTGGAATGAGCTTTGCTTAACCTGCAAAGGCAAGTAATATTAAACAGAAGAGCTTAAGTACAAGTTTCCCGAAAATGTATAAGTTTCAAGCACTCTCGTATAAGTAACTTGTGACAAAGAGAACAGCGATAAAGATATTGTCAATGTCGTGGTAGTTCAATAAAGCCAGAAAAAAAAGAAGTGTAGAAAGACAACATGGTGCAGTTAATGTGCACTTAAACTTTCATGGACTAGCTAAATACTTATGAGTTGCTATGGGAGTTAAATAATCATGCCTATAAAAGTTTTCTTTTTTTACTGCATGAGTTGTTTCTAGAAAGAAAATCTCAAAATATATATCAATTAAATCAATTAATCATAAGATCATGGTACATCTGTCTACTACATATAATGTATGATAACTAGAGAAATTCATTTCTCGGCACTTAGAGGTAATCTCTGAAGGGAGGGCGAATGGACCAACGCTGACTCCGATCTTTATAAGAAAAAAAAAAGGAAATTCATGGAATTAGCAGATCAGTCAACACACAGTTTTCAGTTTTCTAAGTCTTGGTGGCTAGTACAATGGATCATCTTAAACAGAAAAAATCATAATAGTATACACAACCTAGAAAACTGGTATTACATTTCTGTGATGTTTATCTTCGAACTGATCAGACTATATTTTCTACCAGTCATGTCATGCATGAATTAAAATAAAAGTAATATCAGGCAAGCTATAGCATTAAAATTGGTTTTCCCACCACACCTTTGTTTTTTGGGGAATAGATGATTGTTTTGCAGCTTCACGGCGGTTCTCGTAATTCTCTTTAAGTTCGTCAGCTTCCGGCGTACGTAAACAGGATAAAGTCTCTAGTTCCCATGTTGCATGATCATAGCCAAGACCCCTCCATTTCACTAACCATTCAAGAGTACAATATGAGACACCAGATGAGCAAAAGAAATCATCCGAACAGAAGAAATCCTCAGCCAATCTTGGGGGCACAAGTAGCCTCTTCCTCAACAGGCGATGTGGTTTAGTCCACTCCTTCCAAATTGTCTGGGGAATCATTTCACAAGAAAAAACATAAGCATGGATCTTTTGCAAAGCCTCAGTCATCCTTCATAGGCACGAAGAAATAAAGTTCACCGCAAAAGTAATCACCTTTTCAGTATGAGTCCTCTTGTTAAACAAGGAAAGAAGATCAGGACCTCCAGGCATGACACTAATATCACCTTCTGGAACCCAACGGTTATGGACATGCGCCAGATTCTTATACTTGACAAAATACTGCTTGCTAGTTTGCATCCCTACAAACATAGAAACAATAAACAGAAGCACTAAATTAGGAAATAGAAGGCAATACTGCTAGGATAAATTTTGATTTTGTTTCACGCAAGATTTTTGTATTTGTTCTTTGCTTACCCTCAGCCTTGACATCCCACACAGACTCTATCCCATCAACAATATGATGTAAGCCAAACTGCAACCTCTTTTTCGTACAGCTGGTACAGAACCAATTTCCAAGAGACAAATATTGATCCAGACAAGACATATGGTACCTACTTTTGCAACCTTTTCCATCACAGGACCTATCATCAATTGAATATATACATTAGATCATCACAAAGTGAATAGTGTGCATGATGGACCAAAAGTGTATGCAGAAGATCAATAATATACAAAGATCAGATGAGAAGTTTTAATAGTGTGTTCTCTTACCATGCTAGGCAGTATAAAAGAACAGGAGATTTACAAGTTCAAAATTAGTTTTCATAAAACAGGTCAAGTAACCAAAATTCAGGATCTTCAATACTTGCACATATAGGGATGTACTTGCTCATGAATTGAGGGTAGAATATTTTCATTCACAAACCACAATAATATGTTCTTATGCTATCCTAGAGATATGGCTTCATTTGCACTACTATTTTCTGTAGGTAAAGCTGATGAAAAAAACAAATTGACTTACCTAAAAGTTCCTGGGGATCCAAGACCACAGGCAACACATATGTTGGGGTTACCATCTGTTCCATCAGATCGGGCCACCTGGAGATGTCCTGGAGCTGAATTTTCTTTCTGAACGCTAATAGGTTCAGCATCTCCAAGTGTGCTCTTAACCTAACATGATATCAAATACCAAAGGTTGAACCCCATACGGTTGATGCATAAAAATCAGAAAGCACATCAGGGGGAGGGGGGGATTGAGAAGACGTTGCCAAGAGAATTGAAGGTACTCCTGAGCTGTAGTTAGCGAGCGCTACCTCTTTGTGATGAATAGTAGATATTGGCCCACTTTGCAATGATGGTACAATGTTTTGCCTGCAAAATGTTAACACAGAATTAACATGTATTCAAAAAATACATGCCTAATTGCCCCGTATCAAAGAAGTCACGAAGGCTGAAAAGGAAAGCACCTTGCAGGGCCAGTGTGTCGATCTCTATCCTTTGCTGGAAGACTGCTTTCAGCCGCTATATCTTGCACATCGGTACGTTTATGTGGCAGTACCTACAACAATTAAAAACAAGGGGGCAAGAGAACTGATGCATAAAAAGATATTGCCAAAAGAATTGAAGTACTCCTGAGCTATAGTGGGAGAGGGCTACCTCTTCTTGATGAATAGTAGATATTGGCACAGTTTGCAATGATGATAGAATGTTTTGCCTGCAAAATGGATGGTTAACACAGAATTAACATGTATCCAAAAAATACATGCCTAATTGCCCAGTATCAAAGTCATAAAGGCTGAAAAGGAAAGCACCTTGCAGGGCCAGTGTGTGGATCTCTAGCGTTTGCTGGAAGACTGCTTTCAGCCGCTATATTTTGCACGTCGGTAGGTTTATGTGGCTGTACCTACAACAATTGATGACAAGAGATAGGTAACTGTCACTGCTTCAAATGGTGTCCTATGGAGTAAAAGGCACCGACTGTTGTTGGTGATTGGCTGTTGTAGTGTCTCTATACAGTTGCTGCTATAGCATGGAAAGTATAGTATTGCATATTGCATCTTCTCAATTAATGTCCATATGCACATCATTTATCCTGAACAATCAATACATGCAATAGCACTTAACATACTTGGCTTCCACTTAAGAAGATGACTAGCCCAGCAGAAGGCTAAAGACAAGTATAATAAACCCTCTGCCAGTAACATGGAGGCAAAGAAAGAAGTATTGCAAAATTTGATAGATCATGCACCAGATGCCATTGAAGTGTCCCAAGAACTCACAGTAATGTTCAAAGAGTTTCCATTTTTGCATAGTAAAATGGTGGAATTAGCTCTGACCAAAATGAAATGCAGACAGTGGAAGAGAGACAAACCTCTGAAAGCGGTGTAGAACATTGGTCAACTCTTGTGTCTGAAGTTTCATGTAAACCAGAAATAGGACTTTTGGGAACTTTACAGGCAGCATGGCTTGAATGTCCCTTGCTTTTTTCAATCAACCTCCTACCTTCACACAGAATAGCAGTGTTGCTGTCTGCCACATGCCCGCTTGAAGTGTTCTCCTTGCCCATCCTGTCAGGGGAAGCAACTACAACTGAAAATTTAAGAGACAAGTTAGATATGATAGTACTCAGATGAATTAATGCAGGCTAAATGACCAAGTTGTACAACTAATAGGCAGGTTTCATAAACTAGAATGCAGGCTAAATGCCAAAGAGTAACACATATATGGAAATTTTCATGTTGATTTGGTGCTCAAACAAAAATGGTTTTGTATGATTGCGCCTAAATGATGGTGCCCTAGATATGTCCCCCACCTTGAAGCCTAAAACCTTGACTAGTTTGCGTCGACATACTAATGTTTTCTGTAAAACTGTCTTCCTTTTTAATGCACAGAACATGACGCAGTCAATGATGCCTGACTTGTGTGCCTACACATTATGGCATTCCCATATAAACCTTCAGCTATTCCTAACCACTAGGCAACCCTGATGATTACAATGTGATTTGATAACAGAGCAGGTAAACCAGCACAGGCCATTAAAATTATTTGTCTCAGATGATGGGGCCATCCAGCCTTTAAGCAAGTACAGCAAGAGCCCAACATGAGAGGAACTAATACCTGAGGCACCCGGTCTTACGCCCGTCTTGAATTTCTTGATGTAGCTTCTTGCATCCATTCTTTTTCGCCGCTTCTTCGACGAAGAGCCAGCATCCCCGTTGCTCGCATGCTCACTCATCACTTGCTCCTCTGCACCCATCCTAGAGCCAGAGCTTCCGTCTGAACCTCTTGACAGAGAATTGGGCACACTGCTCTTCTTAACCGCCCTCGACCCTCCGAGCGGCGCTTCCTCCACCGCTCTGTTCTGCTGCCTGTCACAAGACGGTGTCATCACATTTGCCCCCGCGGAACCCCTCTCCCGACCACCAGGAAGGGGTGTGCTCCGACCTGGGCTCCCCGGACCCGACGCGCCTGGCCCTCCGTGCGGCCGCAACCGGGGAGCTTCCGGTACAGCCTCCGGGTTGCTCCCCGCCACGCTCCCGCTGCTTGTCGGCGGCGCC